TTTTGTCTTGGGATGTACTCATAAATCACTCTAAGTTGCAGCTTTTTATCCATGGTTTATTGACTAAACCATTGCTTCATAAATGCTAAGCCACAATAGCTGGGCTGACAATACACCATGTGTTCTCAAACTGTGGGTTGCAACCTTCCAAATGATCATCAATAAATTTCAGACAAGCACAAAATTGGGGAGAGGGTATGTTACACACACAAAACAGGAATGTTATTAGAACTTCTGCTCTACCTGGATGTGCCAACAGCTGGGCAGTCCAAGCAAATATTGGTTGAATTCTAACCCAACTGTGGCTTTGCCTGCTGCCTGGAATAGCTGACAGCCAAGCCAGGATTTTCTGTAGATTGGTGATGCTTTAAATAGCTGATATCCATCCAAATAAAATGTGAAACAAAAAGTGAAAAGGACCGTCTAAAAAATAAAATAAAACTAAGGTTTGTGGCATTGTGCCTAACAAAGTTCTGAGTTCTATAGTTGTTTTGTTTTATAACCCAAACACAATGAAATCCGCTTTATTAATGAGTAACAGCTCCATGCAATTTGACAACTCTTGCACCAAACCAAAAATAAACCTCATAATGGCATAGTTTGTGAATTCATTTTGGAGTTTCTCTTTTTCTTCCTATTTATCTGTTAACAAGTAACTGATATGAACTGACTAGTTAATAGAAGTTGAGAGCCAGATATTTGGAGTGTATCAGATTGAGCAAAATCTAACTAAACATGTTAAATGCTCCCTTCATAATGTGTGACTCTTTTAAATACACATAGCTCTGTGTGTGTGTCTGTGTGTGTGTCTGTGTGTGTGTGTGTGAGAGAGAGAGAGAGAGAGAGACAGACAGACAGACAGACAGACATCACGTGCTAAAGCTTACTATGGTTACTGCATGCAGAGAGAGAAGTACTTTAAGTCTTCTTTTTGTTGTTGTTTTTTGTGTGATATGATATCTATTCGATTCTTTAGTTGGATCTCTCTCTGCTATCATGCTGTGACAGTTCACAGCTAAAATGACAGCTTCTGCCGAAAAGTATCTTCTGCAATATGGCCCTTGTTCAGTGATAGTGAAGGATTTTAAAAAAATAATTCTAAAATATCTTCTGAAATATAAGCATTTATTTATACATTCATTCAATTTATATGAATGTGTAGGCCATGGATACATTTTACCTTTTCTTCAGCGGAAAAGCAACGAACAGTACAGTTCCTTACCTTGAACTAGATAATTGCTCAACTTCTTTCCAAAAAGAGTCTGACATTCTTGTGTGCCTTTTTGTTCCATACCTACCAGTAATGGAACAAATTTTAGACCTTCCCCAGATCAGAGTTTCTCAATCTCAGCATCTTTAAAATATGTGGACTTCAATTCTGAGAATTCTCCAACTAGTATTAGCTGGAGAATTCTGGATGTCCACACATCTGAAAGTTGTTGATATTGAGAAACACTGACCTAGATGCTATTAAAACACATTATTTACTGTTCTTACACTGATATCATGGGTCATCACTGTTACTAATACTCCAAAACATCTTTGGTATTAAAGTTTTACACAGTGTATAAAGAAGAGGAAACACTACACTTGTGCTGTTGAATCATCTATCTTTGTCCACTTGGCTTTGTGGAGAGTTCTTTTTTCTCTGTCAGTGTATTTATTCTCTTTGTTCTTTCTTGATGTGTTCTGTTCAGTCACAGCAATCACTGGTACCTCAGAAATAGCTAGTAATCTATGGGTCTCTGAGGTCATGGCCAAGAGGGCATGATCTGATGTGTGTTATCAAACAAGGAACTCTTTCCTGAGCAATAATTAATCAAATATCAAAACTGCCTTATTCTAACTCAGATTATTTGCCCATTTAGTCCCAAATTTTCTTTTTCCAATTGGCAACGCTTCTTCATCATTTTAAGCAAGTTCCTGGAAATGCTTAAAATTGGAACTTTCTCAGACTTCATGTTCATCCTTTGAGCTATGTTTCCCTCCACCTTGTAGTGTATTTGTCTGTCTGAAATTGGAGGAATGATAATATCCTTTTGGGCTAATTAATAGCCTTTTTGGGCTAGTATCGAAAGTAGGGCAGTCATTCCAGGTCTTGTTACACTTTCTGGGACATTACGTGCTGCTTATTTCCAGATTACATAGGCCTTGGGGCCAGCTGGAACTGGGACACAGAGCATGAAAAGTCAGAGAAGGAGAATGGGATGAAGGTGGAAGAGATGAGAGGGAAACTGATTGGTATGTGACTGGGAAGAGCTTGGGATAGGGCTTTTATACCTGCCACTCTTATGGGGAGAGCACAGAAAAAGAAAAGTTGGTGGACATAGCACAAAACAGATCAGAACAATCAGAACAAAGGGAAGAAATCTGAAAGACAAAAGGGAATGGAGGGGCAGGATGACTTCTTTCTAAGCTATAAATCAAAATTAATAACTGAATCTGAGATGTGCTAGACTGATCAGGTGACATTTTTGTATATGTTTTTCAGAATGATGTTTATAGCACAATGTGTTTGAACAAATTTTCTATAAACTGCTTGGGAAGCAAACCGTTTTTTATTTTCTCCTATATGCTTGTGTAAATCCATTATTGTGAGACCAGGTGCTGATAGTCATACCTTGCACAGTGTGAAAAGCTCATTACATGCATTACATTATATGTTGACAGCTTGCTATATTGAAGTAGCAATTGCTGCCATTCCTTCGAAACTTTTCCAATGTTCAGCACATCACATTTGTCAGCTTTCTCCCAGTCATGTACTTCTTAGTTGGCTGAATTTGGTGGGCCTTGTAGTCTGTTACACCTGGTAAGCACCAGACTATGAAAGGCTGATTTAGTTACTTGGCATTATCTCAGTTAATGAAGAAATTAGGTTTACTGATCTCAGATCTTTTTTCTCTCATTGTTGCATAGTTGTAAAACTGAAAATTCTCATTTCCCGGTACTGAGCAGAGAAAAGCGAGTCATAATCTGGGAAATTCCTTAAGGAGGAAACCAAATCTGCCTCCTACACAGAGTAAGATGTGGGTGGGTGGCATAATTAGCATTCACCCTAGGCCAGCAAAACAGCATGGATGACCTTGCTGTGCCTTTATTTTGTTTAATCAACATAACCTTTAGTATTTGTGCTTATTTATGACAGCATAAAGGATGACTTTGTACTAGACTTGCCGGAGTTTTATTTGGGTGTGCATGGATGTTTTGCTCTAGGCCTGTTTGATTTAAATGCTTTATTAGCACTGCAGTCTGTGAAGATGTCACAAGTAAGTGTGCATACAGTGAGGGGAAAATTATTTGATCCCCTGCTGATTTTGTACATTTACCCACTGACAAAGAAATAATCAGTCTATAATTGTAATGACAGGTTTATTTCACTAGTGAGAAACAGAATAACAACAAAAAATCCAGAAAAACGCATTTCAAAAAAGTTATAAATTGATTTGCATTTTAATGAGTGAAATAAGTATTTGACCCCTTCGCAAAACACGACTTAGTACTTGGTGGGAAAACTCTTGTTGGCAGTCACAGAGGCCAGACGTTTCTTGTAGTTGGCCACCAGGTTTGCACACATCTCAGGAGGAATTTTGTCCCACTCCTCTTTGCAGATTCTCTCCAAGTCATTAAGGTTTCGAGGCTGACGTTTGGCAGCTCGAACCTTCAGCTCCCTCCACAGATTTTCTGTGGGATTAAGGTCTGGAGACTGGCTAGACTACTCCAGGACCTTAATGTGCTTCTTCTTGAGCCACTCCTTTGTTGCCTTGGTCGTGTGTTTTGGGTCATTGTCATGCTGGAATACCCATCCACAACCCATTTTCAATGCCGTGGCTGAGCTTCTCATCCAAGGAGCTTCTCATCCAAGATTTGATGGTACTTGGCCCATCTATCATCCCTTTGATGCATGAAATTGTCCTGTCTCCTTAGCAAAAAAACAGCCCCAAAGCATAATATTTTCACCTCCATGTTTGACCTGACAGTGTTCTTGGGGTCATAGGCAGCATTCCTCCTCCTCCAAACATGGCTAATTGAGTTGATGCCAAAGAGCTCGATTTTGGTCTCATCTGATTACAACACTTTCACCCAGTTCTCCTCTGAATCATTCAGATGTTCATTAGCAAACTTCAGATGGGTCTGTACTTGTGCTTTCTTGAGCAGGGGAACCTTGTGGGCGCTGCAGGATTTCAGTCCTTCACAACGTAGTTACTAATTGTTTTCTTGGTGACTATGGTCCCAGCTGCCTTGAGATCATTGACAAGATTCTCCCGTGTAGTTCTGGGCTGATTCCTCACCATTCTCATGATCATTGAAACTCCACGAGTTGAGATCTTACATGGAGCCCCAGACTGAGGGAGATTGACAATTACTTTTGTTTCTTCCATTTGCGAATAATCACACCACCTGTTGTCACCTTCTTACCAAGCTGCTTGGCGATAGTCTTGTGTAGGTCTACAATCTTGTCCCTGACATCCTTGGATAACTTTTTATTCTTGGCCATGGTGGAAAGTTTGGGATCTGATTGATTGATTGATTGATTGATTGATTGATTGCTTCTGTGGACAGGTGTCTTTTATACTCCTAATCACAGCTCGTTACATGTATAAAAGCCACCTGGAAGCCAGAAATCTTGCTGATTGATAGGGGATGAAATATTTATTTCACTCATTAAAATGCAAATCAATTTATAACTTTTTTGAAATGCGTTTTTCTGGATTTTTTTTGTTGTTATTCTGTCTTTTATTGTCAAAGTGAACCCACCATTACAATTATAGACTGATCAGTTCTTTGTCAGTGGGCAAACGTACAAAATCAGTAGGGGATCAAATAATTTTTTCCCTCACTCACTGTAGGTGTATTTTAGAACAATGCATTTTGTAGCTCTGGGATGGGGAGGCTATCATTGTATATGTTCCTAGGTCCCACCTACTGTTTGTAATATATCCCTTGTTGCTCTCCTCCACAGAAAAAATCTTTGTGTCTTTCTTCTCTCTTCATCCTTGCAGTGCAGCCAGTGATGGTGCCCAGCACCTCTGACGATGCCCCAGAGCCCCGAATCGAGCGCGGAGGAGGAGGAGCACTTCTCCCAGTGCCCCGAAGGGGAGTCTGGCTCAGAGAGCTCCCACGAGGGGCCCAGCCCCCCGGCCAGTCCTGCTAACTCTTCCCACAATTGCTCCATGTCAGTACCTGAGGACGCTCACTTCAGTATGATGGTCTTCCGAATTGGTATTCCTGATTTGCACCAGACGGTAAGGAACCATAGGGAAAGGAGGGAGGGCAGGGCGAAAGCTGAAACACTGTAGGAGATACCCTGAGCTTTGAAAGTACATTGGAAAAAAAGTATTTGCTGCTCTTTTCCAGCAGTTTATGATCTTTTTTACCATTTTTATCTGTCTTGGAATTAAATAAGGTTGAGCACAGTAGGTACTTGGATGGGGACTATGAAGGCAGGGAATATCAAGCTGTAGATTCAATTGCAGAGTTAAAAAAAGGAAGAAGGCAACTGCAAGCCACTTGAATCAAGCCTATTTCAAATGATATTTAGGTTTTCTACTTCTTGAGCCACCTGAAATATTATTGCAACCATTTATGATCTTCATGTCATTTATAGGCACTCTTTGGAATATAAAAGTAACAGGTCCCTAACCCAAGGGTTTTACTAATTCACAAGGGAGTAGAAGTGGAAGGAGGACTCTATTTTTATTTCAGATAACTGAAACTAATTTTTATTCCAGTAGATTACGATGTTATGCAATTGTGTCCAGTTTTACGGAATTATTTTTTGAATCAAATACACATCCCTTTTGAATCAGGGCACCTTGCTCACAATATTTCTTCATCTTTCAGAGTGCTGCTGCACAGCATGAACTTATTAAGGGTGGGTAAAATCTGCAGTGGGTTTTGGGGCAAGAATGTGTGTAGCATCAGGTGACCTTGTCTTTAAATCATTGATTCTGCTATAGGGAAGTGTGGCACAAGAAATACAGATAGATAAAAGAAGATTAAACTTCCATTTTTAGTCCCTCACCAAGTCCAACGCTGTCCTTTGAGAAGTAATTAATGCAGAACTGAATTCACCCTGAGCTCAGCAATAAAAGAAACATATTACTTTTTTGCTTCATTAGCAATAAAACAAGGACACTGCCACAACTGCCTGTACTTTCATCCAGCAGTCCTTTAATATGGAGAGACAACTGCAGATCTAGGCAAAACATGCTTCCCTTCCCCTCCTCTCCCATTCCAGTTTCTTTGTACAGCTGCCCTCACCATCTCTGAGCATCTAAGAAATGCTTTTGCTTTCATTATGTGCAACTGCATGTGCTGATGTGAGCTGCTATGAAATTCTCCACATATTCCATATATACGTTTTAGATTTTTCTAGTTTATTATCTCACCTTCTTCTAGGAGATTGTGAGCTGATAGTGATGTTACAAGCCCCAAGAAAAGTTAGCTGAGTGAAATTAGGGTTAGAGTCAGAATCATGTGAAAAAGATTAGAATAGGAGGAGACAATTAGATCCTGATTATCATTTCCTCTTTTTCAAGCACATTATGATTTTTTTTATTAAGAATTTAAAAATATAATTATACCCTAGAGGTTTTTTTTCAATGTGGTGTTCTCTGCATATGTTTGATTTGAATTCCAGAAATTATAACTTGCTGTAGTCAGAATTAGGAGTTAAGCTGGAGAAGACTTGGTAACAGCCTGTAATGTTCATTATTTTCAGAAGGAATTTATGGCAATGAGCTGATCATACAACCTTTAAAGAACCTTAAATCAATCTCTATTATATTGCAGACCTTTTTTTCAGTCTGTCTCCTCTCTCAGCCGAATTTACTACCAATTCTAATCTCTCTGAGTCCTCAATCTCAATGCAAAGGTCCATATGCATTGGGTCTTGAATCTAAACCAAGATTCAATCCCAAAAGGTATAATATCAAAACTAAGATTATGAGAGATAAGAACTGCCTAAGCACACATGGATGTCTTTCTGTTATCATAGGGTAAACATAGCAAATTGCCTCTTCTATTTGGAATTGGGGGGGGGGGGGCTATCCTTCAAACATCATCTGGAGTTCTCTTTTGGAAAATAAAGCACAAACACATGGTGGACAGCTATTTTGGACAGAGATCTTGGACAGCTATCAGGATGCTAATTATCCGGCAAACCTTAGCAAATTAGCTTTTCTTCATAAACATGATTGAGTTTTAAGAGCTACTATTTTTATTTCTTGCAATGCCACTTTGAGATGTTTGGAGAAGTTACATGGTAGCTACCATCCCCAGTCATTCACAGCTGCTGCTGGCCACCATAATTGGAGATCCAACATCGAAGAGGATCCATCTAGTACAGTGTTTCTCAACCTTGACAATTTTAAGGCACGTGGACTTCAACTCCCAGAATTCCACAGCCAGCATTGTGCCTTAAAATTCTCAAGGTTGAGAAACACTGATCTAGTAAATACTACATAAAACCAGGGGAGAAAGTTATATACCACTGCTATTTATCAAATATGCCATGTAAACTTAGTAATTAAAGATTGTCATTTTCCTCAGCGTTGAAAACTAAGAACATGCAGGTTGGTTTTAGAGAGTACAGGATCAATCAACCATTATACAAATGGAAGATTTGTGGCTTCTGTTTTTGTAATTTATTAATAGCTGTGTAAAATAATCTATGTTCTCTTTCATTTAACCCAATTAATTTCTTTGTTCTTTAACATTGTGTTCTAAATAGACTTCACAGTGCATACATACAGGATGCCTGCCTACTCTAGCATATAGCAGTGTGTGTATTTGTAAAATATAAACATATCCACCAGGTTGTTGTCACAAAGAAATTCCATGTATATTGATCAGTATCACTCTGGAGAAGACAGACCTACTGGTTATATTCTCTCTACCCATCCAGAAATTTTTAGTCTCTCTTTAAACCCATGCCCTGCCAATGTTCAGTTTGGGCCCCACTTCTATTCATGGGGCAACCATGGAAACCGTTGCTAGAGATCACAAATTGTTGTGACCATGGAAACCAGGATAGAGTTGCCAGCATGTGTCTTGCTGATTGTCCCTTCTTACCTTCCCCTGCTCCCCAGTTCTGACCCTGGATGTCTTAGCACTGAGAGAAGGAGATGTTAATTGCAAGGAATGTTGGAAAGAGAAACCCCTTCTTGGTACTATGGTGCATCAAGAGATCAACAAAATGAATAAAATGCATAGGGAGCAAAAGGCAGAAATGTCCTGTCCTATTTGATTCAAGTATACATTTTTGCTAAAATCCTATAATTCATAATACATAACAGGTTTTCCCAATCAGGCATCTTCTGGCTATACAAAACCATCAAAAGATCAATCATCCACAGGCAGATCTTTGCTGGGAGTAAGATTTGTCATCCAAACATAAGGAAAATGCCATTTTGAGGAAGATTGTGTTAGAACTGCAATATAGCAGTTAATTTTCTGTACCTGAAATAAGGGATACATTCACAGCATAAAAATTCCCTTAATTTTCCTGCTACAATCAGATCAGAAAGCATCCACAGAAGTGGAGGGAATTGCGTGGGGGGGGGGAGGGAAGGGGGGAATGATGAAAGCAGCAATGTGCCTCCATGGTGGAGCTCCAAGACACTGCATGTATGTATAAAAGATGTGGAGCTTGTGATGATGGCTCACTGACGCTTCCATCATTTGACAGAAGGACTGAATTCTTCAGACTTTTCTGCTTTATTCATTCATTTGTTTGATTTGTATGGCTGCCCACCTCAATTAAGTGACTCTGGGCAGCCCCCAACAGGTAAAAACAGTCTAATAAGTTCAAGTAAGAAACCAATACAGGTTGTCCTCATTTAACAACCACTCATTTAGTGACTGCTCAAAACTACATTCATACTTCTCACTGTTCTTCAAAGTTTCCAGCTGTCCCAGCAAAGCTGTGATCATATGATTGTGATTTGGACACTTGGCAACTGACTCACACTTGCAAGGGCTACTCTGTCCCACAGACACCATTGCCATTAGCAATCTTCCCTGCCAGGTTCTCATAAGCAAAGTCAATGGGGAAGCTGGCAGGAAATGTCACTCCTATAATTTGCCCAACAGCAATTACTTTGCTATACTCACATTGCAACATGGTGAACCTTCACCCACCCTCCCCTGCCTTGCAGCAATCATCTCCAAGCACACCATGTGCTGCGCCTCATACTGCACTTTAACTTACTGCTGGCCTGTTGCAAATAGCCTGGGACTTGCTTAATGACCCACGATCCTTGCTTAATGACAGCAACTGGAAGTCTTGGGATGCCATTGCTAAGCAATACAGTCATTTGACATTGCGCCTTGCGACTGCATTACTTAGCAGTGGAAATTCTGATTGCAATTTATTGTTGTTAACCAAGGACTAGTCATATGCAAACATATAAAAACAATCCATAATCAATTTTTTTTAAAAAAATCATCAGTGGTAGAACGCATCCTACTTCAGTTCAACACAGCCATTACAGGAGTTCTCCCACCATTGCTGGTCCTTCAAGCATGGCAGCAGAGCCATATCTTCAGGGTCTTCCTAAAAGCTAAAGAGCCAGGGCCAGTCCAAGATCCAGGGCAAAAGTTTGTTGTACATGTTGGGTGCCCCAATAGAGAAAGGTTTTTTTTCCCTGCGTCCCACTACCGGTAGATGACACTCTTTCATAAATGGGACCTGCAACATGCCTCTCTTGCTAGCCCTGATGGGATAGGTAGATCTAACATAGTTTCCCTTACATAGCACCCTGCTACTATTGCATTTTCACATCTCCTATGAGCAATAAACAAATGATGGATCACACAGAAAACACTAACACGGAGAAGCTGATACAGTAGATCAATGAGAGGAAATTATGGGAAAATATGAGCAGAATCCTGATGCCCAAAATGAATGGAAATGCTTTGGAATTGCTCATGTTTTGATATAAGCAACATTAAAACAAATAATTATTTAAAAACACACCCACTATTTTCATTATATCTAAACTCTAAACTATCACTGTTTGCAGCAGCCTTTCTTTATATGTTGGCCTACAACATCCATCAAAATGGATGCATCGGAGGGAAACTCACTAGATATACAGTGGGGCAAAAAAGTATTTAGTCAGCCACCAATTGTGCAAGTTCTTCCACTTAAAAAGATGAGAGAGGCCTGTAATTGTCATCATAGGTAGACCTCAAATGAGAAAACAAATCCAGACAATCACATTGTTTGATTTGGAAAGAATTTATTTGCAAATTATGGTGGAAAATAAGTATGTGGTCACCTACAAACAAGCAAGATTTCTGGCTCTCACAGACCTGTAACTTCTTCTTTAAGAGGCTCCTCTGTGCTCCATTCATTACCTGTATTAATGGCACTTGTTTGAACTTGTTATCAGTATAAAAGACACCTGTCCACAATCTCAAACAGTCACACTCCAAACTCCACTATGGTGAAGACCAAAGAACTGTCGAAAGACACCAGAAACAAAATTGTAGACCTGCACCAGGCTGGGAATACTGAATCTGCAATAGGCAAGCAGCTTGGTGTGTCAAGAAATCAACTGTGGGTGCAATAATTAGAAAATGGAAGACATACAAGACCACTGATAATCTCCCTCGATCTGGGGCTCCACGCAAGATCTCACCCCGTGGGATCAACATAATCACAATAACGGTGAGCAAAAATCCCAGAACCACACGGAGGGACCTAGTGAATGACCTGCAGAGAGCTGGGACCAACGTAACAAAGGCAACCATCAGTAACACACTACGCCGCCAGGGACTCAGATCCTGCTTAAGCCAGTACATGTCCGGGCCCATCTGAAGTTTGCTAGAGAGCATTTGGATGATCCAGAAGAGGATTGGGAGAATGTCATATGGTCAGATGAAACCAAAGTAGAACTGTTTGGTAGAAACACAACTCATCGTGTTTGGAGAAGAGAGAATGCTGAGTTGCATCCAAAGAACACCATATCTATTGTGAAGCATGGGGGTGGCAACATCATGCTTTGGGGCTGTTTCTCTGCAAAGGGACCAGGACGACTGATCCGTGTACAGGAAAGAATGAATGGGGCCATGTATCATGAGATTTTGAGTGCAAACCTCCTTCCATCAGCAAGGGCATTGAAGATGAAACGTGGCTGGGTCTTTCAGCATGACAATGATCCCAAACACACCACCCGGGCAACGAAGGAGTGGCTTCGTAAGAAGCATTTCAAGGTCCTGGAGTGGCCTAGCCAGTCTCCAGATCTCAACCCCATAGAAAACCTTTGGAGGGAGTTGAAAGTCCGTGTTGCTCAGCGACAGCCCCAAAACATCACTGCTCTAGAGGAGATCTGCATGGAGGAATGAGCCAACATACCAGCAACAGTGTGTGCCAACCTTGTGAAGACTTACAGAAAATGTTTGCTCTCTGTCATTGCCAACAAAGGATATATAACAAAGTATTGAGATGAACTTTTGATATTGACCACATACTTATTTTCCACCATAATTTGCAAATAAATTCTTTACAAATCAGACAATGTGATTGTCTGGATTTGTTTTCTCATTTTGTCTCTCATAGTTGAGGTCTACCTATGATGACAATTACAGGCCTCTCTCATCTTTTTAAGTGGGAGAACTTGCACAATTGGTGGCTGACTAAATACTTTTTTGCCCCACTGTATCACTACAGGGGTGATTGCAATTTTTCTGAATGAATGCTGACACTTTTGATAGTACTACCCATGGGCTACTGCTCAGTGTTAGAGACTATATTAAAAAAAATAAAATGAAGACTGGAGCTGCCCCAGGTTATCATTTCAGAAGGTCCGTAAGAGTTGGGTTTCAACTAAAAATACAAATTTTTCTGTTTTATTTATGGACATATGAGGAAAAGTTCATATTCTGCAAAATGACCGAACCAAAGGTTGAATGCAAACACAGCAGAATAATTGAGAAGTGGTGGTATTAAAATAACATTGTGTTAATACTTATTTAATACACCTAAATAAGTGCAGTATAAATGTAAACTACTTCTAAGCCACAGCTCCCATGGATTGTTTTTCTGTCACAATACAGTATTCCCAGACTCCTTATTGGAACATTTCTGGCTATGGACAGAGGCTTGCCAAGATTAAGTTCTCCCCTGCTTGGTGCCCTTCTCATTAAAAATGGCTTAATTGAATTCAGAAATTCTTTGTGTCAGTGAGACTGTGTGGCTTGCTCAATCTATTAAAATTATTAAAGTAAGTTTCTTCCAGGTTGAGATGGATTCCTAATAATTTCATGAATGCATCCATAGCTTTCTTGGCAAGAATATAGAAGTGTTTTGCCACTACCTTCTTCCAAGAATCTAGCCTTTAATCTTGATATTGCCTAGAGGTCTCCTGTCTAAGTACAGACCAGTAGGGCTGTTGTGCTTTAGGATGAGTTTCAGAAAGGTGCTTCAAAGTGTTCAGGGACACAAGCTGTTTTAAGCAGCTGGGCCTTTTCACTGGATTGTGTGCAGCAGATGGGTTCTATTTTTATGTTCCTGCGTGCTCCAAAATGCCTTTTTGAAATCATATCCAAAGCTCTCCATGGCCCTACTAACTAGACTGGCCCACCTTAGCTATTTCAGATCAACCAAGTTTAGCTAAGTGTATCCCGGAAGAAAAAAAAAACATATTTACATTCAAGGCTAAAAAGTATTATTATAGGACACACAGTGCTCCATTGGGGCAGGATCATCTATTATTTGGGGCCAATTTGATAGAATTGTTTTGCTTTCTATCCACACCCTTCTCCTGCATGGCCTGTTTCTGCTTTAGAAATGCCTACGTTTCAACCCTGATGCAGCCATTTGGGTGGCAAAACAACAAATTCTCTGCACCCTCAACGAAAGCCTCAAAGATGTTCTAAATTATGGACTCTTCCAGCCAGCCACCAATGGCCGGGATGCGAAATTCCTAGATGAAGAGCGACTCTTGCGCGAGTACCCACAGAGTTTTGAAAAGGGGGTACCCTATCTTGAGGTAAGGCTGCTGCTTATTTGACAGCACTCTTGTGTCAGAGAGGGATGAGCATTATGGGAGAGAACTGGTAGTTTATTTTTTTTTAAAAAAAATAGCGATATATGCATATAGTTATCCACTATCTGCAAAATCCCAGAGTAGGAAAGGCTGCTTACATCATCACCAACTTGAGAAGCATTTCTAATCTAAATAGTCACCACGATGTAAAAAAGATGTTGAGACTCTAGAAAGAGTACAGAGAAGAGCAACAAAGATGATTAGGGGACTGGAGGCTAAAACATATAAGGAACGGTTGCTAGAATTGGGTATGTCTAGTTTAACGAAGAGAAGGACAAGGGGGGACATGATAGCAGTATTCCAATATCTCAGGGGCTGCCATAAAGAAGAGGGAATTAAGCTATTTTCCAAAGCACCTGAAGGCAGGACAAGAAGCAACGGGTGGAAACTAATCAAGGAGAGAAGCAACCTAGAACTAAGGAGAAACTTCCTGACAGTGAGAACAATTAATCAGTGGAACAGCTTGCCTCCAGAAGCAGTAAATGCTCCAACACTGGAAGTTTTTAAGAAGAGACTGGACAGCCATTTGTCCGAAATGGTGTAGGGTTTCCTGCCCGAGCAGGGGGTTGGACTAGATGACCTCCAAGGTCCCTTCCAACTTTACTATTATTATTATTATGATGATGATGATGATGATGATGATGATGATATTTTTGGCTCTGGTTTCCTTCCTCTCGAGGCTTCTATCACTTGATTCACCTTTGTTTCCTATTATTCCTACTACTACTAGGAGCGAAGCTATCATTTTCTCCTCTTCTCCTTGTTGGTTGCTGACAGCTAGTCAATAATTGCACATAAAATAAAAGCACTGTGCTGGCCAGACAAGTTGATTTTAAAGTGCCGAATATTTCGTTGCCTAGCCTTGTAGTGAACTGAACCAATGTGGTGGTAAAGTCAATGTGGGACAAGTCGCTGTGTTCCACTGCTCCTATTGGCTATGAATCCCCACGATAATGGGTAGCTGGTTCAGCTTGCTTCTACGTAAGGGAATTGTATTAGGGATTTTAAATGGAACATTTTAGCGACTTCTTCCAGCCATCTAACTCATATTTTTCTTTTATAGGAGGCCTGTCCTGGAGGCCCCACTGATTTTTTTGCTCTCCATCAGAGGTTTCCTTACTCACCAATGCATTCAAGTCTTGGGGAAAGTGATAAACTGGCCAGAACCCCAGACTGAGAACTTTCAAGCCTGGGGGAATTTTTTTAGTAGCCATGGCCACTATGCCAATAAAATAAACAGTGGTAAATAAACAGAGGCAACAGTATTTTACTATCATCAAAATGGGCAGGACTTGTATTTCCTGGGACCTGGGTGTGTGTGTTTGGGGGGAAGGGGTATGTGGGAAGAATTGATCTGTAAAATCTAAATCAAGGACTATACTCCACTTTTTCCATTTTTACTGAAACTCGATGAGAAAAGTTTCAATAAAACTGAAGATTGCTGAAATTTGGTATAATTTGCAGAAGCCACAAATGTGCCCTTTAGCTATATAGGTTATCCATTTTTCCCCTATAGATGTAAATCAGGGGTGTCAAACTGCCGGCCCACGGGCTAGTTGCATCATATGGAGGCTGCTCCCACCCCACCTCTAGCAATGCAAAAAAAGTCGCAATATGTCGCAACACGTGATGCGGCGAATTTGACACCCGTGATGTAAATACAGGTAGTCTTCATTTAGCGAACGCCTTGTTTAGCAACCGTTTCCAGTTACACAATGGTAATGAAAAAGTCCTCACATTTATGACCTTCATAAGTCTGTTGCAAAGAAAAGCTGAAGCAAGATTTAAAAGAATGTTTTATTTACTTCATTTAATGACCGAGTTGCCAGTCCCAGCTGTGGTTACTAAATAAGGACTATCTATATCTGTAACCATCTGACTTGACTTACAGAGGCATGGATTCTCAGGATGAGCTGATTTCCTTCCCGTTCCTCTGTGATAATCTCTAAGTAGCATGCAGAAAAGGAAAGGCTTCACACAGCATTTTATATTATAATATGTCCATTAAGCCTTCATCAGGCTCTGCAGTTTTTTTAAAAAATATGTCATTGCATAGGTAGTCCTTGACTTAACTAGTGAGCCCAAAATTTTTGTTGCTAAGCAAGACAGTTAAATGAGTTTTGCACCACTTTATGACCTTTCTTGATACAGTTGTTAAGTGAATCAGTGCAGTTAAGTTAATAACATGATTGTTAAGTAAATCTGGCTTCCCCATTGTCTTTGCTTGGCAGAAGTTCGCAAAAGAGGATCACGTGGCCTTGGGATACTGCAACCATAATAAATATGAGTCAATTGGCAGATATCCAAATTTTGATCACATGACCATGGGGATGCTGCAGTGGTCATAAGTGTGAAAAAACTATCATAAGTTACTTTTTCCAGTACTGTTGTAACTTCAAACGGTCACTAAATGAATTGTTGTAAGTTGAGGACAACCTGTATGTGCAAATTTTCTCTTGTTTGCCAGTTGCCTCACAAACTTAATGTCAGCCACTGTTTTTTATAATTACAATATCTAAAACATAATGCTGTTAAGTATTTATCTATTTCCTTTACATTCATAATAGGAATAGAGTTTTCTCAAGATTAAAAAACAATGCATCAAATATATCTAACCTTAGCTGGATATCCAAGATTATGTACAGTATCTATCATCCTGACAATGTTTGGATCTACAAAGAAACTGATCTACAGTGTGGAAGAGTTTTGAAAAATTATGAAATATAGGGAAATGATAAAAATTGAATGTGTTTTCCAGAACTGTAATTGCCTTTTATTAAGCTACAGTGAAATATAGCCCATAGCAGTTTGGATCTAGAAGTTAGTCATGCATAAGTCCTGTTAAAACCTTCAATGAGATTGAAAGACTGGCCATAATCAGATTAACAGTAAGGAATCCTTGCCCGTAAACTTGCCATATGATTAATCAGATGCATGTAGTGCAGGAGAGTGGGAAGGACAAGGTAAAACAACAGAGGGAAAATGATAAATTAGGTAAGGTCTGGAACTATAGATTTGTCTTGAGTCATTTCTTGAAGGGTGGGAGGTACTGAATCATATGAATAATTCAAAGATGATGTATTTCTTTCAGATCTATGGAAATTAAAGCTGTAATGCTCAGAGGAACTGGAACTGGAGATTCTTTTTTCTAACATAGGCACTCACAGAAATGTGTGCATAAATACTAAAAGCCCATATAGTGTTATGAATTCAGTATTTCTCACACATTTCATCCTGCAGAATTCATTTAGCAGCATGCAGTGGAACTTGCATCAGAATAGTATGATGTTCCTTTTATCATTTGCCTACTCTTGACCTTCCCTGCAGATGTCTCTTTCTAGTGGGTAAACCCCATACCTGAAAAAATACTCTAATTTATTGGACGGGAGGGTATCAGTGATAGTTAAAGGGATGGAATGGGTTGAAAAAGCTTAAGCTTAAGGCACCAATGAAAAATTTATTCAATTTCTCTCCCCCCCTCCCGGCCACTCCCAAAAGCAGGCCAAATTTTTGTTCTGGGGTTGATGTGGTAGAGGTGCTTTAGGGGGCTGCAAAACATGTACCAGAGTTCATATGCAGCCTACAAGTTGTGTAACTCTGAACTAAAAGAACCAACAATGGCTTTAGATTTAGGTAAAGCTACGAATAAAGTGTCCTTTGCACCATGTCATATTGTCAAGAAATACTGGAGGGATCTATAACCAATAGCCCAGACCTGCTGGATCCAGCTGTGCTTTTGATTTTCTGCCTTAGGGCAGAACTAATTGTTGGACATTATTGAAAATTAAAAATTGGACCTGATCATTTGATGACGATTAAAAGTGTCACTCCAAGAAAATTAATGTATGGAGGGAGAGCATTAGCATTAGGAAGAAAGGTGGCAACTGCCCGAATCAGACAGATGCTTATGAGGATTCTGGAAATGTTTAGGCAACAACTGTGATTACACACCTGTAAGCAATCCATCAAGGTTTTTTGTGTCTGCTGTCTTGTGATGCCAGAAGGTGCCAGAGAAGAAATCCATGATTTGTTTTAAATTTGCAGAATTGTGCCATTCAGTTGAATTAGATACTAGCCTTCAAACAAGCCATGAATGGGTAGCATCTGTGTAGGAGAAAGAAATCATCAGGCGTATTTACATTAGTTCATGTTTTACCTGAGGCTGCAAATGTATCCGTTCTGTGTATAGCTGCAGTAAATGTCCCCCCTCCCCCTCCTCTCTGGTCCCCTTATTGTCATCTTCTTTTCAGTTCCGCTACAAGACTCGAGTATACAAGCAAACTAACCTAGATGAGAAGCAGCTAGCAAAACTCCACACAAAGGTGAGATAAGAAAGAGAGTTTTCTAAAATTCTATGGAAAGAATAAAAAAGTCAGGATCTGGAGAGAATCTAAATTGGCTGTAAAAATCCCAACTTTTTGAATTATCATCCAATGTGTAAAGTTAGCGTGTCCTTTTAGATTTCTATTATGCAAATAAGACAAAGTATAAAGAGCTTACTTTTTATTTAATCTTCCCTACTCCTTTTATGAGGTACTAGCCTCCTAGCAGATTAATAAGAAGAAAAGATCAGGCTGCTTATTTGGTCTCTGTATTGACATGACTGCATAAATAAGACTTAATGCAAAGAAGAATACCAGCTAGCAGATGTTTCTGCTTAGTAAGGGGCAAGCAACCTATAGCTCCTGCACCGTCTTTGAACATCCCCAAAATATCGCTAGAATTTTGCAGCAGATTGCCTGTTTTGGGCTCTGAAATGTTCTCATTTTTAACAAATTCCAAAATAAAGGAGTTAAACCTTTAGTAATTTTAAGGCAAGTTTTACTAACCTTTTTAGTAAATGTTGGAGGCAAACAAATACATAATTCATGTAAAAAGTAAAATGAAGCTTATAATGGAAGACAGTTGTTTGCTCCAACATGTGTGGATGAGAAGATTGCTGGGGACAGGTTGTTCTTTTTTAAACTAAAATTTGTCCAACCTCAAGAAGTTATAAATGATTTGAGCTTTTGATCCAGCTCAGCCTTATTCCTCTTTTAAACCTACATTGCCCTTTTCTGTCCCATTTCTCCCAATCCTCATTGGTTATCCCTGACAAATCTTTCCCCAGACGGGTTTGAAGAAGTTCCTGGAATACGTGCAACATGGAGCAGCTGAAAAAGTGGCACGGCTCCTGGACAAAGGGCTTGATCCAAACTATCATGATTCTGATACCGGTGGTAAGTCTTAACTGGGAGACACAAAGAGAGAGGAAAAGGTGAGTTTGGATGCCAGCTACACAACATCCTTCTCCACAGTAGTAATGCAAGGTTTTCTCTGCAGAAACACCTTTGACCTTGGCTGCCCAATTAGATGGAACCATTGATGTGATCCGGCTACTGTGCCTTGGCGGTGCCCACATAGATTTCCGGGCAAGAGATGGAGCCACAGCAGTTCACAAAGCTGTCTGTTCACACCACTATTCGGCCCTCATGGTAAAGTCAAATGCTAATTTGTGCTCGGCGATTATGGCAAATGTGAAAGGAGCACATAAAGATCCAAAGCAACCTTTTTATTTCCTGTCTATTGGCATAGTCAGTTAATAATGCACATTGAACCTCTTATAATATAAATATATATTTAAAAAAGACTGCTGCCCTGAGGATCTAGCATTTTTGCTCTGAGTACACAGCCCTAGTTGAGAATCTGTGCAATCTGTGTCAGGATTTGTGTGATATACCAATTTGCTGGGTGCCTGCTTAAGGTGCAAGCATAATAAATTCTGCCTAGCTCAACAAGTGAATGGATAGCACACAAAATTAAGATAAAAACAATTATAATAATCCAGTATAATGGGTAATATTTTTCAGCAGCAGCTTGATAGAACATGCTTGGCAAGAATTTCAGAATGCCTGAGATAATAATCAAGAGATCCTGGGTTTATTATACTTGGGGAAGTGAAAGTTATTTATTGCAGTTTTGGAGAAATGATAGAGAAGCCTATGGCTGACACGATAAGTCATTTTCAGAAGACACCCTTGGAAGCAAACTTTTGATTTTATCCTGGAATCCTTTCACAAAAGGGAAAGAGTTAACAGAATAACAGAGTTGGAAGGGGTGTTGGAGGTCTTCAAGTTCAAATCTTATACCACTTCAGACAAACTGTTGTCCAATCCTTTCTTAAAAACCTCCAATGTTGAAGTACTCACAACTTCTGGAGTTATTGTGAGTTGAAATAACGGATTTTAAAAATAAAAGTAAGAAAAGCACGGTCTAGTCAATGTGTTACCACTAAATTCTGCTTGATGCCCCAAAATTGCCACCGAGCAAGTTTGACTTCACTCAGGATAGGACAGTGTTTCTCAACCTTGACAATTTTAAGGCATGTGGACTTCAACTCCCAGAATTCCACAGCCAGCAATGCTGGCTGTGGAATTCTGGGAGTTGAAGTCCACATGCCTTAAAATTGTCAAGGTTGAGAAACACTGGGATAGGAAGTAAAGTAGGACTGCTTCTGCCATTGCTCAGCTGTATTTTTTCCTTGGCTTACACAGGCGCTCTTGGATCTGGGTGGCTCCCCCAATTATAAGGACCGCCGGGGGCTGACCCCACTCTACCATACAGCTATGGTTGGAGGTGACCCACACTGCTGTGAACTTCTGCTGTACAATCGAGCCTACATTGGCACCACTGATGAAAATGGCTGGCAAGAAATACACCAGGTGAGGTCCTACATACCACTCAAAATCCAGCCATCCCAAATTTCCATGCATGGTAACTCAATTGTGTGGGCAAGACAGCTAGCAAGCCATCTTATGCCCTGTGTATGTTTCCTGCTAGGGCTGGCTCGAAGTCTAAAGATTGAGGGGGGTGGCTGTGACTTGCACCTGTCCATCTGACCATCTAGCCCCACCTTCCATTCCTGACCTCTGCTTCTCCACGTACCAGGCCTGCCAACATGGAAACTCCCAGCATTTGGAACACCTGCTCTTTTACGGTGCTGAGCCAGGTTCACAGAACGCATCCGGGAATACAGCATTGCACATCTGTGCACTCTACAACAAGGTAAGAATGATTAATTTTTACACTCCAACATTAATCAATAAAGTGATTAAAGCATCTGAAAGTCTGGACTCCTGCTGAGGACTCCTGTTGTAGAGAGTAAGGATGATGATCATGACAGTAATATATGCAGGAACCATTATCTAGGCAAAAGGGGCTGAAGCAATGTTCTGGAGATGATATTGGCAAGCAGATCTCCCTAATGTCAGTGTCTCCAAGGTCTCCCTAATTCAGTGGGTATAAGAAATAGGGAAGGAAAAATACAAACTTGCAAGATTCTGTATGGTAGCTAATCTCAATACAAGAATTTTTAGCCTTCACATTGAATTGATTTCCCAGTCTTTCCTAGCTAGTGGGGCTGATACCCACATTGGAAGATTCATTTATTTACTTTAATTTTTTGTCTTCCATTTAGTTGTATCCAATTCTCAAAAATTATTTGGACAAGTCCTTATAGTTTTCTTGGCAAGGAAATGGCCATTGCCTCTTTCCTAGGCTGAGAGGAAGAGACTGATCTAAGGTCATCCAGCTGGCTTTGTGCCTAAGGAAGGATAGAACTCATGGCCTTCCAGCTTCTAGTCCAATGCCTTAACCACTATACCAAATGGCTCTTTTAAATGTGTGCACCTCCAAATTTGCAAAGCCATCTTTTGAATATTAAAAAGACATGCCAGTAAAGCCAAGAATCTATTTCTGTAGAATTGATCATTTGCTCTGGAATTTGTTAACATGAGACATTTTCTTTAACTAAACAGGAAACAATCATTTACAATTAAGTTTTAGAGTTGTTCTTTCTCAATTTGGCAACTTTAAAATGTGTGGACTTCAACTTCCAGAATCCCCCAGTCAGCATGCCTGCTGGGGGATGCTGGGAGTTGAAGTTCATACATGTTAAAGCTGCCAAATTGAGAAGCACTGTTTAGAGGAACACAAAAGAGGATTCTGCCCTTCCTCATCCTCCACTTCCTATATTCCGTATTTGTGAGGGTGAGGACACTGAAAGCAGCTTGAAGGCCAATTTGGAAGCATTCCAGTAATATTAGTATTAGTACTGCATTCCACCCAAATGCAGCTTTCCTTTCCAGGTTCAGCTTTGAAAAAATACTGATCTGTCCTGAATTGTAATCCGAAGAAGAGCTGTTCACAGGGATGAAGTCAAATAAGTTAACATGGCAGCCACAACTATAATGTGAAAACCATGCCTTTTTATGTACACAGCCATCATTTTGATTGTTTAAATTTTATTAATTTATTAAACAAATTTATATAGCTGCCCAGCTCACACATAGGTGACCACCGGTTTCTTACAAAAACTTACACACCTTAATCAAAGATCTTCTGCCAAATGCTCGTCCCACTTTGCCCTATCTATATAATGAGAAATTCTCATATGTTGCAGGGATTATAGGTACGTAGTAGTGAAGAGGGAGAGGAAAAAAATAATTTGATCTGTTTGGATTTACCATTGTCAAATGGGACAAAATCATCAATGTACTTATTTATGCTTTGCTTCTCATTTTGCCAGCTTCATTTTAAATTTTAATATCAGTTAATGGTGAGTAATTCATAGTGAAGCATTGGAATCCACTTCCCTGATGAGTTTATTTCCTGAATCTTTGAACTCACATGGACTGAGAGACATTTTTAAGAAGTAAAATATAGGGTATGACCAGAAATCAGTGCCTTCCATTATCTTTAGCTTCCTAAGTGTGATTTTCTATGAAATGAATCTGTTGTAATGGGCTGTGCATCATTCCCCATGGCAACCATTTTGTGACAGATGACTCCTCTCCTTGGCAGCCTTTTGTTTTTCTCAAAATTCCAAATGTGGCCCCAAAAGTTCAAATTTTTGGGGCCACACTTAGCATTCTGAGAAAAATGTAATATAATAATATAACATAATATACATATAATATGTATTTAAGAAGTGTAGAGTTAATCTGCCCTGGAATGTAAAAAGAACCAAAGTCAGGCCATCTCTAATAAGTCCATTCCTAATACTCTCCCCTCCGTCCACTGAAATTGCTAAACGTGGAAGCTGTCTCTTATGTCTTTCTCCTTGGGCTCTCTTCCTTCTCTCTTCTCCCTTCTCTGTCTCCCAGGAAAGCTGTGCCCGAATCCTGTTATACCGAGGAGCTAACAAAGAGATCAAGAACAACCATGGTCAAACTGCCTTCCAGGTGTGCAGTGAGCTGGGTCCAAGAGAGAATGAGAGCAGAGCATGTTGGCAGTTTGATCCCAGGCATCATAGGGCTGAGCCCCTGACCTTCCCTCTTTTCTAGTGCTTCTGCATTAGAGCCTATAAATGTGGGTGTTTGTAGATTTAATTTGATATTTTAGGAAAAGGAGTAATTGTGTCATGACTCCTGTGTCTCAATTTGCAGACATCACAGTACAATTTTTAGTTCATATTTTTCCTCAAGGAAATTGGTACAATTGTATTATATATCTTGCCAGTTTCTGTAAATTCTTGATTTTGGCACTAAGGTCCCCAAAGTTGTCACAAGTACTGCAGTCCCAGTGTGTCATCACCTGTATGACATAGGAGATAATTGGGAGGAGGGAGTAGAGCCCTATCCTCTCCTTGTCTCAAATCTCCAAAACTGAGAAAGACTCATGTCCCCCTAGCATTGGCTCAACATCGGACTCAGATGATATTGGAATAAAATAAGGTATTGAAGACATCAGAAGGTAGATTCTGCATATAGTCTTTCCTTGTAAGCATGGATGTTGCTTTTGCCAGCCTTTGCCAATCTGGTATTAGTCAGATGTGTTGAAGTAGAATGGTCATCTCCTCCAGCTTGAATTAAAGACCACTCTTGAGAAATACCCAGTTTCTTAGGGATTTCTCAGTATTTATTTCTCATACAGGTAGACACTGAGTTACATTCCTTCAGCAACTATTTAAAATTACCACAGCACTGAACAAAGGGACTTACAGCTGGTCCCTGAAGTTACAGCTGTTGCAGAAGCCCCCTCAGTCACACTGTCAAAATTCAGATACTTGATAGTCTGCTCACATTTATGATTACAGTGGTGCTTCAATTCCCTTTACCCACCTATCTCCTCACCCCCATCTATGCCGTTTGGACTCCCTGCACTCTAGAAGCCCTGCTCGCCCTAGCTGACCTTTGCCAGCCTGGCCCTTCAGAAGGCAGCTGCTGGCTACATGAGGCTTTCTTCCCAAGATCATGTACAGCAATTTCTTCGTGAGATCTGGAAAAGATTGCCTTATTTGTCCAGCAGCTTCCAGGTGTACCGTCAGAACAGGCATACCTCATCTGCAGTGGGAATAAGAAGATAGAAAAGGTCAGCTGGCATCCCAAAATGCAGAGCAACAAGGATCTCTAGGCTGGGGTGGTTGGGTCTTCCTGGCATAGCTATAGCTTTGCACCCCATTGCTGGAGCTGTCTGGGCTGCTTTGGTTTGCACCGTGCTGCTGGCTTCCTAGGCCGCTGCTGTTGGGGCTTCCCAGACTACTGTGGATTTGCACAGGGCTGTTAGAGCTTCTCAGAGCACGTGGCTTTGCATCTCATTGCTGGGGTAGCTGAGGCTTACAGAGGTGGATGTGGCTTTGCATTGTGCTCAGGCTTCTTGTAGTCCCAGAGCCATGACACACCAAGACAGAGTGCAGGATGGCCAAAAGAGCAGAGATGAGGGGGAGATAGGATGATGGCGGGGGGGGGGAGTTGGAGGCAGTCCCTTATCTTACCTTATCTTATCAAATCTTGGGTTGGGTGGGACCAAGCCCAGAATGGCTTGGATTGGGAGGATCCTTGGCTAATGGGCAATGGAATTTGTTTAATGACAGCAACGGAGTGCTGGGGTTGCTGTCACTAAGCAATATGGTCATGTGACTTTACAACCACATTCTGGTCCCAATTGTGGTCACAAGTCAAGGACTACCTGTATGTAGAGATAAGACAGCAGCATTTTCAGGCCACTTTTCATACCTGGGCAAGAATATTGAAATCTCACAAGATTTCAGGGGTTTTAAAATTGTACTGTTTTGGGAAGCTTGGTGCATCTCTTGGGAGGGTGAGGGGTCAGTAGGCATCTTGGCACTTCAATTTCCTCATTATCTAATATATATAAAAAGAGGTAGAGCAAGAAAGTTTTCTGTTTACATAGATACATTTTCTTTCTATCTTAGGTGGCAGTCATTGCAGGAAATTTTGAGTTGGGGGAGCTGATCAAAAGCCATCGGGATTCAGATGTAGGTAAGTTTGATTTGAGGAAAGGAGACTGATGTGGACACTCTACAAAAATACAGGTACCGGTAATCCTTTTTAGTGAGTTATTTAGCAACTATTTGGAGTTATGAGGGTAATGCAAAAGTAACTTTACAATCAATCCTCACATTCAGTCTGCGAAAGTTGAAATGAGATTGTCAATGCAGTTGTGGTTTCACTTAGCAACTGGTTTGTTTAACAGCTGAGTTGCTGACTCCAGCTGTGGTTGCTAAACAAGGACTATCTGCTTTTGTACATATCACAGCTATTGATCCACCACATCTCCAAACTTACATATACAAATAAAAACCTTGAGCATGTAGTTCTCCAGAGAAGCTAAGGATTATTAGCAAACATTTCAGAACTTAGACAAAACTAACAATTTCCAAGTTCTTTCCGGAGAGATATGGGGAAAGTCACCATGGGAACTGAAACAGTTTAAATGTAGCTTAAAGTCTTTTTTTTCCAGTGATTTTTACCTTGCTTTTTGTTTTCTTTTGTTTTTCTATAAAAATTATTGTCTCATTTTAAATGCATATGGCAATGTTTGGATTATTTTTATTAGTAAAGTAGGCTAGAAATCATATAAACACAAATAAATAAAACACAATTAAAAACCCTTATGAGTATAATAGAATATGGATTCTACCGTTCCTCTTTTTTGCTGCCTCATCTCTAGGGAGACGAGAATAATAAGAACTGTGATGGCAGCAGCTAGGAATTTCACTTATTATTTTGAGATTTTATATTGCTGGGATTTTAGTATGTGACTTAGCCCTTCTTGCTGACAGGAATTTGACATTTTTTGGACTCTGTGACACAGAGTGCGCCTTTCATTTCAGAAAGTGCATTGTTTCAGTGCAAAGCTCTTTGTTCCTAGTTGCTGCACTATTGTTCCTGACCTTTTTTTCCTCAAGCAAATAATTACCTTGCCTTCACCAAATTGTCTTCCAGGTTTTTTTTTCCTACTCCTTGTAAAACCAAGGTTCAGCAACCTGGTGACCAACACTTTCAACGTGCAACACCAGAGCCAATTACCATTAATGCCTCTGCTTCGGGCCCATTTAAGTGAATTCTGCACTCTGTTCAGATCTGTGTGCCATCTAGCAGATTCATAACATCTAGTCAACTCCTTCTGCTGGAATATAACCAGTTTTGTGTCCTCCTCCTGCAACTGGCAATGCTATGCAGCCATACACGTTCATAGCTATACCCTTGCAAGCTAATTACAGTAGGGACCTGGTAAGGGAAGAGAGAGTCTGCAAAGGACATTTTGGCAAAAACCTGTTCAACCTCTTTCCCGTTGGGTTGTCTTCCTTTCACATTCCCCACTTTCAGGGCTTTCATATCAGGAGCTACTCCCATAATGTTGTATTCACTCTTCTCTAATGCCCCCTTCTCTCCTCTCTCAGCAAAGCCAAGAGCCAGAAGGATCTCAGGATCCACATTGAACAAATGGGTATCTTCATCAGTGGGTTAGGTAAGGGTTAGGGTAGACAGTTTAGCCTGAATTATGAAAACAAAAATCTTTTCAAGCCCCTGCTTTGGCTCCTCAGATTCAAAGGAGAATTTTCTGCTTATTTTAAAGCACAGCATCATCATTACCCATCATCAGCTCTCCCTATTTTTCCTTTTTAGCTTTTTACTAACATCACCATTCCTTTTAGTCCCTTTCCAGGAGACTCCACAATATGCCAGCCGACGCCGAGATGGCCCTCAGAACCTTACAGTGCCACATACTTTGTTGCGGGCCAACAGTGATACTAGCATGAACCTCCCAGACTGGATGCTTTATGCCCAGCCATCTATCCCACCTGCCACAGTAGCAGTCCAGGGCCAGAAGATCACCACAGGAACATTGCGCAGCTCCAGTAGTCCCCGTGGTGCTCGCAGCCGCTCGCCATCACGGGGACGCCATACAGATGAAGCCAAAAAACAGCGTGGTCGACCCAGGTAAGACTGGAGATCCATATTGGAAACTTTAGAACTGGTTTAGATAAATAGATGTGATCTGATCAGTTTGGTAGAAGAAGGGAAGGATTTAACACCCACTCACCATGGACTTAAGATCTTAAGTGGTGCATGTATATAAGAGAAAATGATTAGGGGTGGGAAATCCACGGAGCATAAACCATTGTTTCTCAGCCTCATATTTTGTTGCACCCCAACCAAAAAAAAATCCTCAAAAATCAAACCACATGTTCAGATTTAGAATGGACCTGGTATTCCCCTCCTTGCCCTACTCCCAAATACCAATAATAAGCTTCCAGTACCTATTGTGCTGAATGAGGGACCCAAACATTAAAAAGAAAGTTAAATTCCAACCTAACTTTTTGTGACTTCACTACCTTAAAAGCTCACACACACCCCAAAAATCTAAAACATAACAAAACATAAATCTCAAACTTTTAAGTAAGATAGCTTTAAAAAAAAAGTATGTTCTCTTTCTGTAAAATATTTGCCTGCCCCCACTTCATGTAATTATTTACTTCAAAATGGGTTAAACTGTTGAATTTCTTCCTGCTTATTTTGTTGAGGAAGGCCTGATGTTTTTCCTGAAGCCTTTCCCCAGTGGTAATACCTGCTCTTGGTTTTTTGTTTTTGGAAGGGAATTAAGACCAAAATATTCCACCTGAACACCCTAGGAGGTCTAAATTGTTAATTCTGATGTAGCAAATGGAAGAAATTATTAAGTAAAAGGGAATCTGTATGTTCAACTTAATTGAATTGAAATGAAATGAAATTAGAATTATTTTTAGTTCTGGGTCCAGCTGCTTTTTTTAGGCTCTCTTCATCTAGTTTTTAGAGTGGTAGCCCAGCACATGACTTAAAGACTTGGGTCTGAAGAAAGTTAGGCCCACAGAATCTAAAGATTCTCTAAGGCAGTATTTCCCAAACTTGACAATTTTAAGGCATGTGGACTTCAACTCCCAGAATTCCACAGCCAGCATTACTGGCTGTGGAATTCTGGGAGTTGAAGTCCTCATGCCTTAAAATTGTCAAGTTTGGGAAACACTGCTCTAAGGTGAAGTGTGATTTGCTGTTTTGGAAAAGTTGTGACATAAAAAAAAAATAATCAGAGGTTGTATGGCAAGAGAAAGATTAAAGAATTATCATGGAGCCAAGATTCTGGATTCTTAATAGAGAGAGCATCTTGAGCTAAAATTTATTTATATTTGTTATTTATTTATTTGATTATTTGAGTTGCCTTTGCTAAGAGTACCTGGGGATTTACGATCATACATCAACTATTAAAATTTCACAGTAAAAGTAATAATGTAGGAGGATCAAAGAGATGGGGGAATGGATTTATCACACATAATTGGGAACCAATTTTATCTGGGTTGGGAAGATTAACCTATTTTGGAGATTGACTTTATTATATTTAATCAGACAACAATTGATAAGAGATGGAATTAAAAAACAAACATGGATATTTCATTGAGAATGAATTAATGTTAACTTTTGGGATGATTTGGGAAAATAAGATGCCATGGAAAATTTCCCATGAGCTGATTACAACAATAGTTTGTTAAAAGAGGGTTCTGAAACTTTTAACTTCGTCTTTTTTATCATTTTTAATGTCTTGTTTGCTGTGTATTTTGTTTGTTTTTATTTATCTTTTGGAGTTTTATATTTTAACTTTTTTTAATAAAATAAAAAAAAAATACAAAAAAGAAAAATGAAATTCCAGGTTACATAACAGTAACCTGGAACTCATGATGTTGCTGAACTATATTTCTAACATCTTTCACCACTGCCTAAGTTGACTAAGTCTATTGGGAGTTGTAGTGCAGCAACATTTAAAGGAACCTAGGTGGCAGAACTCACCCTGGTGGCACAGTGATTAGAATACAGTATTGCAGGCAAACTCTGCCCATCGCCTGGAATTCGATCCTGGCAAAGCTCAAGGTTGACTCAACGTTGCATCCTTCCAGGTCAGTAAAATGAGGACCCAGATTGTTGGGGGAAATATGCTGACGTTGTAAACTGGCCAGAGAGTGCTGTAAATCACTATGGACAGTATATAAGTCTAAGTAATATTGATATTGATATTGTTCATCAGGAGGAAAATGCATAGGCATCTGCAACGGCAGAACACCATCATCGTCATATATATATGCAAAGGGTTCATTGTGCTGCTGCAACCACTACCGTGCATTTTTAACTTCCCAGCAGATGTCATGGAAAGAGACTATAATCCCATTTCTGATACTCAGCATGCACTTATTTCAAACTAAGGCAAAGATGAAAATTGCATCTTTTTAATCTAACTTATAGTTTACCTATAACAGAACTACTAGAAAAATAATAGAATAAGTTAAAAAATATAGTTTCTCATGTAAAAGTGAAGAGGAGTCCAAAGTAATTCATTGTATTGTACTTGTTTTTATCTTGGCCTCTTTTTCCTTCCATCTCATGGCAGTTCCAGTGGCTATCAGAAAGAATCTGCTGGAAGCAGTACACTGAGTAGTCGAGGTGTGAAGCGGAAACTTTATTCGGCTGTGCCTGGCCGCACATTCATGGCTGTGAAACCCTACCAGGCCCAGGGTGAGGGTGAGCTCTCCATCAGCAAGGGCGAGAAGATCAAGGGTATGTTGATCTTTGTGCACGCCCTTGGATTGTCCAGGGATTCTTCATGAGTCTACAGTATTGTTCAGCTTCTTTGGGAGAAATCATTCGGCTTAGCACAGAGGTTCTCAAACTCTGTTGTAGTGAGCCTTCTTGAACTGAAGGAGTAAGAAAATTGGTCCTCTCCAAGAAAGACCCTTTTTTTAAAAAAAAATAGGAGACCTGATTCCTGAGAATCACCTGGTGGAAGATGTCTGGGCAAGATTCCTGTGTCCAGGACACTTTGACTTGACCTCTCAAAATCTCCTTCACTTTCTTTAAAGTGCGGAGAAGGGCAGCAGGAAAGAATCTTTAATCCATCCCTTTCAGTTCTTTTGAATCCTTCAAGCCTTATTGATTTTCACCATCTATAAATGTTCTGCTAAGGGAAGGTCAGGTGAAGACTTAATGGAGAGAAAAGTGGGAAAAGTTAGGACATTAAAAAAACAGAAGTTGCTCCATATGTTTTTTGATAAATATGCATACAATTCATCCCACCCAAGTAAGGAAAACCATATTAATTCTTAACAGAACATGGAAACAAAGAGTGATAGATATACACATATAAATGGAGGTGATAGGATGGACTTTAGACCTCTCTAAATTGGGGGGGGGGCTACTTCCTACTTCATGTTTTGAGAACCTTGTGTTCAGCTCAGCTTAAAAGCCAGGCTATTTGTGAGGCTTGGCTTGTGTTTGTGTACATGGTTTCTTGTTGGTGTCTACAATGTCTTGGTGTGTAATCAGCCAGCTACATGTGAGTGGTTCATGGCCTTTTTCTTTGTGTGTATCTGTGCCTAGAGAATAGTAGCAGGATTAGAATTTTGTAAAATGAGCAAGTGTTTGATGTCGAAAAGATAATCTACATTATTCTAATGAAAGATCAGAAGTTGTGTTATCCAAATTCATATTATTTGTCCTCTTAACCCAGAACTTTCTAAACTAATTGGAAACAGATCTCTAGGGCCTTAGGCCAGAGGGCTTTTGCATAATCTTGATCACTTAGATGGAGATACAGAGATTGAATTTTGAGATTTTGGCTGGTAAAATAATGGCATGGTTCTTTTTATCCTTTAATGTTGGAGGTAAAAAAACTAAAAGCAGCGTTTTCACTCGCAGAGATTGTGATGTTCAATGAAAGAGATTCTTAAATAATGCCTAATAGACCCCAGTTCTGACTTAACTGATTCTTTGAAAGTATGTAGCACTCTGACGTAGCACTCTGAGAGAAAAGCAAGTCATACCCTCAGTTTATATCGTTTCTTTTAAAAACCTATATATTGCTTATAGTATTTGTTGCACTTCTTGTGCATGGTACTATTCCCGCCCTACCCCCGAAAAACCATGTTCCATTTTTATTTGTGTTCAGGTTGAATATCTACACTCAGAATTCTTTCATTTTAAGATTGTGTCTCTTGCAGTAAGGTTCACTAAATCTGAGGTTAAAATTTAAAAATACAGTAGATTTTACAAGCCAGAAATCTACTGCTGCTCTAAATAAGGAATGGAATATATATATATATATTCTGTGAATGATTACATTGCTTCAGATATAAAAGCTGACATGACAATAACAGTAGGGTCAAATCGCAGAATGGATATTACAGGAACCAAATTTATTTATCTTTCTCAGTCCTTTTCTTTTTCCTGCTCTCTGCTTAGTAGCTGCCAGATTGCCTTTACAAATATCCAAATTGATCTCTTGTTTAGCTAAGAGCTACTTGGTGCTCTTGGCTCTTCCCTAAATTGATGGTTATGCAGATAATCTATGAAATTACTGGAGCGGCGGGATACCACACATTCTAAGATAAGAGGCCTGATTCCAGGTTTTCATGTAGAGTAGAATAAAGTGGTGATCAGATGCAGAAGACCAAAGGCTTCCTGCAGTTTTAATATACAGAAGGAAGAATCTCAACAGGTATAGTTGGTGGGACTTTCATGCCATTAGATATTCCTTTCTTTGTTATCTGATTTATTTACAGTTGAGGGAGATATAAACAAAGATTTAGAAGCAGCACAACTATGGCACTGGCCATATATGGGTGAGTTTAATACCAGGAGGCTTCCATTGCAGTTAACCTTTCCTCCTCCTCCTTCCCTCCCGTGGGTGCAAACTATTGCAAATCCCCTATGCTATTTTGTAGAACAAAATTAAAAATATAAGCGGAAGATGATGGATGTCTGCAGTATCTGAAAAGGCAAATAGGAAAAAGAGCCAATTTCATTTAAAGCACTCTGTTTCAATACAATTCTGGGGCTCAGGTGCAGAATTTAAGAGCAGCAATGCTATCCTCTTCCCACCCCTCAGCCATATCTGCTGAGTTCATCAGTAATTTCCTTTCCTTGGAGAACAGAGCTAATGGGTCCTTGGCCCACTGGTTTTCTAAGGTATGGTGGGGACTGTATCCTTATATCAACAGGTAAGTAAGATTCAACGGGTAGTCAAATTGTTGTTCAACAGAAAATGCTGGAATCTGGGAATCTCAAGGCATGATTTTAGTGTAGGCTTCAAAAATAGTCCATGCTTAAAAAAATAAAAAAGCAGCAAATTAAACTCAGTTGGTTATTCTGCACATAACAATCTTCTAGGGAAATCTAGGCCAAAAGACTGTGGATTACCTAAGGATGATAGATGTTGCTAGTGTAGATTTGGGCTTGGCTCTTGCACCAAACTGGCTATAGGGAAATGACAAACCGCTGGTCTACCCTCATACAATACCTAGTTTCTTTATGCCCCTAACCATGCCTATCTCCTTTGCAGTGCTGAGTGTTGGGGAAGGCGGCTTCTGGGAGGGGCAGGTAAAGGGTCGTGTAGGCTGGTTCCCCTCAGACTGCGTGGAGGAAGTACCCAACAAGTTCCAGGAAGGGAAGCAAGGTAGGTATTCCAGATCATGCCTTTATTTATTTGTTACAAGTGCTTTTATGCCGCTTCAAGCATCTGACTCTTAAGTTAGATTTAGAAGATAGAAATCGGTTGCAGTACCGTCCACATAATCAAAATGTATCAATATGTCAAAAATAAAAGCAACAAAAATAAAAGCAATCAGCAATTAAAGCATTAACAGTCATAATGCAACATCTACTATGCAACATCAGACAACAAATATTCATCCCAAACTCAGATACCTCTATCTACTTTCACCTCACTCCCTGTTGAAAAAAACCCTTTAAAAAAACCTTCACGAATATTAAGAGAGGAGGTTTATTTCTCATGTCTGATGGGAGGATGCCTTATAGGAAGGGGCCTTCCACAGGGAATGCCTGCCTCTGAATCCCTTACACCCTGCAAGGAATGAGGACTCTCCACGATCTTCTTGTACGGCCAGTGTTTTGAATGGGCAGGTTCTACTTGGAGTATGTGGCCTCAGCAAAGTCAAGCTAGGTAGGACTTTAGAGGTGATGGTCAGCACCCTGAACTATTCCCTTGTTTGTGTACACACACACACACATACACACACACACAACCATGACAAGTCACTTTCTGCTGTTTCTGAATACTTTATTCAGTGAAAAAATGTATCCTTTTTCATGAAATGGGGTAAAGTTTTGTCCCATTACTAATCAGAAAACAATATGATGTTAAATAGTTTCATATCATTTCAAGGGCACTTTTAGTAGACATTAATAACAAGTTCAGGTTTTTTTTTTTTTTCCAAGATTGAACCTTTGTATAGCCAGAACAATACACCACTCATGGACCAAGAGTAGGTAACAACAGGATAGGGGAAAATAGTTTGCAAGCATATAAGAAGTCTTTAAAAAAAAAAAAAATTTAAGAAGAAAAAATTAAGCAAGTCTGGTGAGCACTGACTATTGATTTTATTTAATTTTTTTTAAAAGCTGTGCTTGGCAGGGAAAGGTAATAGAATGGAGTAACATAGAAAAGGACATAAATAGCTTATTGGAACTTTCACTATTTATCTGAGCAAAAGACCACTTTGCCACTACTTTCTTACCTATGACGTGGACACACACTGCCATCATTTTGAGAAGGTAGATTAACAGAATTCTTAGAAATTTCTTGGATTATGATTACATTTAACACTCATGAAGAAGGAAGCCTTGTCTCCCCCCCCCTTTTTTTTTTTTTTTTTTTTTGCACTCATAGCCACTCTGGAGCTATTCTGCCACCCCTGTAAGCATTTTGTGGATGGTTTCAAACTGTGTTCCACAGAACTCCAGGGTTCCATGAGAATTTGAGGATTACTGCAGAGATTTTTAAAAAAAGTTTATTCAATTATGTTGTTTTCTTTGGTTCTTGATCAGAGATTCTGGCCATTGTTTTCAGTAGTTTCCAAGTCCAGGAGAAGTTTGAAAACGCCTGACATAGTTTACTTCCATGGCAATGCTGGGGGAAAATGGGGCAGCTATGATATAAAATAGGTTTATATCTCTGCAAATAAAGCACATCAAAATGGAGCTGCCTTTCACGGAGGTATTATGTGAGAAAAATGTTCCAGAATATTCCCATTAATGTCTATGGAGAGTCTCAATCATTCAGGTCATGGTTGCCTCATGAAAAAAAACACCTTTGGGAATACTCCCATTACTTTATTGTAATCATAAAAAAAGAGAGGGGAGGGAGAAATGGCAAAGCAGCCTTCATTGTAAGGTGCTAAATTAGTATTTTTCAACCACAGCAACTTCAGGATGTGTGAACCTCAGCTCCCAGAATTCTCCAGGCAGCATGCTGGTAGTGTTTTTTTTTTGTTAAGTTTTTTTTATTTCTCTCCTCCCCTCCCCTCATCACTTTAAATTGACATTAACTAATCCCCAATCAGAAATATTACATTGGTATTTAATTCCCTCCAAAGCCTTCAGGACTCATGATGTTACATATCTCACAGATATCTGAAAAACATATGGGTAGATTACAATATAGTGAAATACATATATGCAAAATGTAGTTTTGCTCAGATCTATTTATCTTTCAACTATAGATTCTCTTTCAAAATGCTGGGTTTTGTAATAAATAAATAAAAGGAGTTGTTTGACATGAGCAGTTCCTAATAGGACCAACATTTCTTTTTTTCCCACAATAGCAGCTTGATGAAAAGAAAGAAAACAGGAACAAAAATTAGTTTCAGTTGCAGTCCTTTGCAGTGATACATTCTTCTTGAAGAATGCTGTCTTACTTGTTGTAGTACAACACAATATTGTTTCTGCCAGTCATATGCACAGGAACATTTTACAAATAAAAATAAGAACACATACAACCCATATGAGCTCCCAATGCATAATATTTCATACTACTGAAATATTTCTCAGTTTGTTGTTTCACATCTTCTCATATAAAACTTTCCAGACAAAATGTTTTATTATGTAGTTGTTGTGCCCCAGTCATGGGATTTTGTTGAAATCCAGACAATGATATTTTTAGAATTTTCACAGCCTAGATCTGGTGAGAATACTTAAAATCATAAAAAGATATTATACTAAATACATAGTATTTATCCAATATGTGATTACACTTAACACTTGAGCTGCACCAGCTGCAGTGTGTGAAGTGGCAATCTATACAAAGATTGTGCCTTAAGGTTCGTTATAGAAAGAATACAGTTTTATAGCTGGAGAATTTCAGACAGATGCATGTTAAGCATTACTGATAGTAGGAGGGGAGAGCGATTTATATGAAAAAAACTCTCTCTCCTAAATTGAGAAATTGTGACCCTTCAAATGTCATGAATCATAATTTTCAGCAAACCATCCAGACTTTATTGGTGAAGGAACCTGTTGTATAGAAATATATGGAAAGTTACAGGTTTCCCATTCCTGCCCTATTTTGAGATGTGCTCACTCAGAGACTAGTTAAAAGGTCAAGAAACTGAAGGCAAGACAAGAATTAGGGACTTTAAAGTTTTGCATGATTACTTTTTATAGATTGCTGTGGCCATGTATCCTCCAGATGTGTTGCATTTCAACTCCCAGTATCCTTGGTCAATAGGAACAGTGTTTATGCTAGAGTTTCTTGTCCCGCCTTAGAATGGAAAGCCACTAGGTAACTTTAGCCCAATTATTTTCTCAGCCAGCTGAGCTCACAGGGCTATTGTGAGGGAAATAGTAGAAGAAAGAAAAATTAGGTATGTTCACCACCTTGAGTTATAAAAATAAAATAAAGGTGGGATTTTAAAAAAAATCTTAAAAAAGGACCAGGGAAGGCTAACTTAAAACTAGAAGAGTGGTCTTCTGCATATAATTAAACATACTATATCTTGAGTAATTTAAAATGATTTCTCTTTAAATGCATAGCCATTATCTCAAGATGTGCATAAATAGATCAGTGTCCCTTTTTGTCTTCCTTTTGGAGTATATCTTGCTGAACTATATTTGGAGAGTATATTTTCTTTGCTGGACTAAAGAGAGACATGGGGAATTTAATCTTCCATTTTTCAAGCACAGACACACTTTCATCATAAATAATAGCTATTAGTGAGAACTTGGACAAGAATGGACAAGATTTTGTTGTCAAAGTCCACAGTTAATTGTTTGAGGAGTGACCACACCATAGCATGCTAACTTTTGATGTAAAGGGTATGAACTAATATCCGAGGATCTGGAGGGATTAAATTATATTAAGTCTATTGGAAGTTATATACTGGTTTTCTCATATTTTCTACTTTAGCAGGAAACTAAAAATTAGCAAAGCCCAAGAAAAGAACTGGCTCAAATGAGCCATCTTTGGCCTAAATTCAAGTATGCATTATCATTAATACTAATCATCCATGATGTCTTACAAAATATAGATGTATGCTGGTAACTAATACTGTATAACTATTAGGAGAAAAAAGCAGCGGTTTATAGGAAAGCTGGAAAGTATGCATTTGATTTCCTTTTATTCTTTTTCTTTAACATGACCTTTTTCCATGGACATCTTTCTTCACTCTGCCACCATTAGCTGCCCTAAATCTGTGCTGCCACTGAGCAGCTACTGGAGGAAAAGTGTCCTGAACCCAGAGAAAATGCTACCTTGGTTTCATATGCCCCTCTGCTCTAATCCCATCTTCTCTCCACTTTGCTTTGCAGAGAGCCGCAGCGATAAAGCCAAACGACTCTTCAGACACTACACAGTTGGTTCCTATGACAGCTTTGATGCCCCTAGGTGAGTGAATGATCCACAAAAGTTAGACCCTCTAGGAGGATATGCAGAGTGCAAATGTGTAGATATGCAGCTATGCAAAAGAATATAAATGTTAATAGCGACAGCTCCCCCACCTTGACATTCTCTATATAACTCTATAACTTTCAGAAAGCTGGCTGATGAATTCTAGCTGTTGTAATACCAACATCTCTTAAGAGAGCCAGGTTGAAGAGTGCTGGTATGGCATATTGAGATCATAAGGGTTTATTTCCTTATGATGCCATTGTATACATATCCAGATCTCATCAGTTCTTTTGTATTGAACTTCAGACTCCTTCTAATGTATTTTCCTTGCTCTGATGTCTTCTAAATATGTTGGACTTCAGTTCTCATTATCCAATGCATTTTTAAGACTACCATGTGATTTTTATTCTAGAAGGTCTAGTACAGGGTTCAAACTGGTGGCTACGCCCACCCCAGCCCTCAAAGGCAAAAAACATCATGATACGTCACATGATGCGATCAAGTTTGGTCTAGTGGCTCAAGAATTACTGTTTGTTTGTTTGTGTATTTAGTAATTCAGTAAATCTGAAACAACCACAGGTTGAATCAGGATATTCCATGGAGTTGATGCATTTCTATAAAATGTTCAAGTTTGCAAACCTACACCCATTTCTTGTCAGAATGCCCCACCGAGCAAAGTAGGAGTCTGCTTAATACATTTGCATAGGATTTCTCTGTCAGGAGGATTTGATTTATGCTTGAAAAAATGACCATATTTAGGGATGAAGAGAAACTGGTCTTATACTACTTACATGTACTCCTGCAGAATATAGTCTGGTCATTGGCATGAGTCATCTCACATGATCTGTTTGCATGAGTAGTACTGTGATGTATCTACAGTAGTTTGCTCTGATGGTATGAATTGTGTGAACATGGGAAGGGGGGGTGGATAGAGAAAATATATAGTGGTGAAATAGGACTGCACAGGATAGTTCAGGTCCTTTCTAGTCTGATGATTATATTAAATCTTTGAAAGCATCATAAATTGAATTATGAGTAAGATTTAAAAAAGATAAATATGTATGATAACCAGTGACTGATTATCTCTTTCAAAGCCTAAGTACTAGTGGGTTAGCTATTGCTGCAAAATGGTAGTCTTGTGTTAGAATCTTAAAACATTATGAGTTTAATGTTGGTATAATGTAGAACAATTCACCTTACCATATGATATAGAGCCTATGGGAAAGTGAGGCTTTTTCTTTTGATTTCCTGAGAAGGGTTTTTTTTTTCCCTTTCAGCTCCCTTTCCTTAAAACATCTTATGCTATAATGAAGAATGACTAAAACTAAATAACATTTCTGAACAATAATCAAGGTCCAGTTTCCCTTTCCCATTTCTCCTAAAGTGGTGAAAGCAACAGAGCTCTTCACACATAGATGCTCACTTTTTCACCCTTCCCAAAACTCTGTGAAATAAGTTAGAATGAAAGTAAATGCTGTCAGTTATTCACATGCTAAATTTTATAGCTAAGCAGACATGGGTTTACATTTACTAAAGACTAGCTATTGCTAATAGTAGAAATCTTGTTGGTAACTGGACTAGTTTCCTCAGTAGCTTATCAAAGGAACTAAATTAGCTGGCAGCTGATGTGATAGTTAAATGATTACTCAAAACATGGGAACCAGGGCACACGTTACACTGTATGTATTCATAATGTCACTGCAGAGCGATATAGCGTACATGTGATACCTGTATATGTAAAAAAGAGTCCAGGTTTGAATTGCACATTCATAGTTACCATCTTGAGTTTTTCCTGTCTCTTCTGGTCTAAATGTGGCCTCCAGATCCCAAATTGCTATTCAGATGTGTTTTTAATGTGATGTGAGAGTTATAGGCATTATTTTAATTAGTAAATGCATATGAAGCAATTATAAATTCAGCTCTTATCTTAACCATTCCCATTTCTTTTTTTGGCCCATCTATTAGGATCACAGCTGATAACTCAGAAAAAGTTTTAGTAACTGCCATGGAAGAATGGTCCTATTTCTCCGTGTATTTCTCAGAACACTCAAAAGGTCACTTTTTCTGCTGCACAGAAGACTAGCAAAATAATATCTGCTCTGTTTTCACTTACATGTGGAGGAGGCAGACAGTTTTTTATTTCTGTTATTAGACTAATTACAAGAGCACCCACTACTTCCAGATTGAATTATGTGAATCGTTGACACAGCATTTGTAATTTAGAAAGTGCTTTATTTGTATCTTGATTAGTCTCACAAGAAGCTTCAGAATTAAAGAAGAATAGACTGGCTCAACACTTGAGTGTGGGCCTCCAATTCCATCTTCAGCATCCTGATAGCCTGCATGTTGGGTTTGGTAATTGTTCTGCCACTCTGACAAGATTTTGATATTTCCCAGGTCGACCTCTCACCTTAGAAACCAGTAGAAAGGCAAAAAGGAAAAAAACTAAGAGGAAGGGAAAAGATTCCTTTTAATAATTTTGTATATTGTAGACCACCACTATCCCATTCCAATCCCTGCTCACTTTCCTAAGCAAAGACAATGTCACTTTGTTTTCAGGCAGCTCAAAAAATCTGGCTTTAGAGTCTTTCTCCTTTTCAAACTCCAAAGGACAACAACAACAACAACAACAACAACAACAACAACAACAAAAAAAAACAGACCGGCATCAGTACTTCTGGGCTAATACCTCCTGTCTAAGCTGCTGACTCGGCAGCTTCTTATTTCAAATGTCCCAGGAACAATGCTATATCAGGTGTTTTAGGGCATCCAGGGATGCTTAAGATGTTGACTCAGTGAATCAGATGCTGTTACTAAGTTAAATCCATAGGTGGGATGTTAACAGAAAGCATTTTGGGATGGACCCTCTCTGACCCATAAAAGACTAGGCTCTTTTCCTCTGCCCTCTACCTTGACACCAATCAACAAACTCAATTCAATTAATTGATTAAGAAAGAAAGAAAGAAAGAAATAGCTTTCCCCCATTTCATGTCTTTCCAGTGTGCTGGGATTATAACTCTCAGAATTCCCAACACATGTGGAAGATACTAGATTTGAAACACAATACTTAGAAAAGTGATTCTGCATACCCGCAAGCTGGAGTCATACAACTTGTTCCACCATGTTCGATAATGCTGTTTCTTTGTACATATAGCAGGGATGGGACCAGTGATGGGCACTCCCAGATAACTGCAAGGGTTCAAGAATTCTGGAAAGGGACCCTTGATAATAATAATTGCTTTTCTCCCTGCCTCCCATGCAGACAATCTAAATTCGTTACAACAACACCTTACAGTGATGCAGGTTGAAATTGCAGGATATCAAGTACCTGGTCCCACTTCATTAAGAGACATAGGAATGGCAGTTCTAAACACAAAAGTCTCCTTTAAGCTTGAAGCTAGTTCCACAGCATAGATCAGATGCTAATTATGCTGCCTGCTCTAGGGCAAACAATGCTAATTTTACTGTCCCTCCTACTTGAAAAGGTTGTTATAGGATTCAGTTACCCTAAAACTAAAAGTCCTGTAGAAACACTCCAATCTAAGTTTATAGACCTTATGCCAATGCACAAATAAAAAGAGCCAAGCAGCAGAGCCAGAATTTCTGGAGAAGGTTGAAGTTGAATGCAGACTCTGATTACACAAGTTCCCTGTAGCCAAATCTTTATTTATCGGACAAACTTTAACCGGTTTAAGTGGCCATACAGCTTTTTTTACAAGGAATCTTGTACTTACATGGACAAGCATGCATCTTGCGCCGGTATGGGGGAACAAATTAAAAAAAAAGCTTTATGCTATTCTCACTCAATAACAATCCTCCAAGGACTATTATAACTTTTTGTGCAAAGTATAGTTTATCTTCAAATACACGGAGGCATCTACCCAAGATTTAGTACTCTTTTTAAAAAGTTATGCAAACTACATTAGCAGCTTAGGTATCAAGAATTTTTTTTACGTATTTAAATAAAATTAGTATCTTAGGGGAAATCAGCATTTTGTGTTCTTTCCCTTATTCTGGGCCCCTACGTGCTGACCAGAGGAAGGCAAATGATCTAATTCTGTCTGCAATACAGCATAATTCTGCAGTGAATCAAGAAGGATTTGTGATTCCCAAACATTATAAAAGAGTAAAACAAGATGAGTAACAGTATATGTTTGGGTGTAATGGGGCATATTTCTATATGCAAGTGTATATATGGATAAACACTGGTCAAAAGCCACATTCCCACATGATAAATTAATATTAATTGGGGTTAATAACTACTGATTAAATTGTATATAAAACAGTCTCTCACACCATTAATAGACCTCTTATACACACAAATCATACAAACATACACATAAGTACCGATGTGATATGTGCTGTCTCCACCGTCCAAAACCATGGCCTTCATATGCATTTTCTAGTCTGCTCCCTTTAAGTGCCTCACTTCTCCAAATACAAAATGATTTTTCCCACTTCAGAGGTAACTGAATGGGAGAAACCCTGTCTTCCTTCTACTCATTTACTGTAATTTATTTCCTATGTAATTTATATGTCACTTTAACCCAAACAAGTTTTGAAACAGCCAAGTGACTAAATATTTTGGGTAAATACAGTAATTAAAACAAATGAACATTTTCTCCAATTCCCCACCATCCCCACATCTGTCTGTCTCAAGAAATCCTGCCCACTTTGCATCATCTATCACCCAATTCTCTTCCTAGCAGGCTTCAGCCTCCAAAAGGTTCCCGTCTCTATCCCACATTTCATACTTGACTATGAAACTCTGGGGCTAACGCCACCTACCCTATTGTCACTAGCATTCTCCTTTGTGACCACATGCTGTTAGAAACATGTTCTGGTTACCGTTTTCCATCACCAGCAGCTTCTTTTCCCTCTTAACAGCCTTTGATTCCCAACTGTGACTCTCAGTTTCAATTCACAGTCTTCCACAGTTCAGTTTGGACTCCACCACCACATTCCCGCCCTTCCTGTCCTGCTGGGTCCTTCTGTTC